CAGACAAAGTCAATTCTATCATGTAAGTTTACCTTATAGCATTCACAACCGTTTGCATATGTGGGATTTTTTTTTTTTTAATTTAAGCAAGCTAGGAATGTGTTTAAAGGTGACCTGTGTTGAAAAAAGAAGAATGGGAAAGTTTAAGAACAATCAGAAAGGAGAGACTTCTAAAGACTGACTTGTTTCAATATCCTTTCCAAAGAAAAGAAATAAGAAATCAGATAACCGACATTTGAAGCTTTAGTATGTAATCATCCTTATTAAGGCAAAAAATGACAATGATATGGACAAGAATTTCAGTCACTGTTATGAAAAGAAAAACAAGGCTTTCTAGTCCTTGTAGGAAAAGGCTTCCTTTGGACTTTGCTGTGAAATGACACGACAACTGTGTCAACAATTTTTAAGACGAACAAGTAATTCAAGAGAAATAGTAACAAAAAGTAATTGAAAATTAGTCTCCCACAAAAGTTACTTTTCTTAATATTTTACAGTCTTCCCAGAGCAGACCATGTCTTTCACTATGCTTGCACAGTGTTTAGTACACAGCAGTACCTCCTTCCTGATAAGGGCCCCTGGCATTATTGAAACATAAACACAAAGCAGGAGGCAGATGACATAATATACAAGAAAAGGGGAGAGCAGATCTCATTGAAAATAAATTCTTGATATTCCTTTCTACCTACAGTCCCATCCCAGATCTATGTCATTTCTGCACAGGGGAAAGAACGGAAGCTTAAAACACATACACAAGAAGAAATCCATGTAAATCAAGGGAATTAGCAGATGTGTTGGTAATCTTCCACAAATAAGAAACAAAAGCTGCCAGCTGTACTTGTAAATTCAAAGATTAACATTAATAGGCAACACTGAGACTACAGGTATTATCCCTCTTTTAGGTGAAGTAGTTCAAGAATCCCAGTCCAGCAGAAACTCAGCCACCTGTCCAACTTCTGTGAGTCAAGTCCTACCCTTCACTGCAGAACATCTACAGATTCATATGCCAGAGACTTGCCAAAGTAAACTGGAATCTTGCCACTCTTTGAGATGGCAGTGAAGTAGCTACTATATAACTAGGTCAGACCTGATTGCCTAGAACAAGAACAATTTTCTTTACATCTTTGTAAAGCTTCTGAAAATGGCAAAGACTGAACATTTTGGGGCTTCAGAAAGAACATCCAAAATCCATTTTTAAATAGAAGAGGTTTAACTACATTTTAATATGGATGGTATTTTCTATTAACATCAGGGCAGAAACCTATTGTTCAGTAGAGCTCTTCACTTCCTTTACACATGAGCTATCTCTTTGAATCTGTCTGAGTCAACTTTAGTGACCACTTTAATATTCAATTTACAATTAATGCTTCTTTTTATGGGTTGGTAGAAAGTAAACCAATTTCAATTCGGCTTCTAGGTATTGAATTTATTATAAAAAGTTATGTACTTAAAACTCCTGTAATGAAACCAGAGGCATCATGAGATATTAACCTAGAGTTAATGCTGAGAAGGCCAGTTTGAATAATTCAATTCATGTCACCTTAAGTATCTTTTCAAATGGAATTAACTTTATCTCACAAAAAAAGGAAGCTCCATGTTCCAGTTACTGATTATTGACTCCACGAGTGTTCTGTCTTAAATCATCTCGCCACCATCTTCCCAGCAATTTTATTTCACTATTACCAGAATGATTCTTTAAATTTTGAGGGCTGACTTTAGTTATAAAGAAGCAGTATTAGGTAAGAGGAAAACATGGTTTCAAAATTATTGCTGCCGTTAGGTGATGCTAAAACAGACAAAAATAAAAGTTAACACCAAAGTATCTGCATTAGTTCAATATAGCTACAAAACAGGGCTGCATTTCAGCCACACGCACACAGCTACTGCAGTTTGCTTCTAATACAAATCTACCTCTTTTTGCAACAATGCCACAGATGTTTGGTAATGCTACAGTTCTCTTGACCTGATAATTGTCTCATTCTAACAGAAAGCCCGGCATTTAAACAATGAAAGAAGATTCTTTCAAATACCTATCTAAGCCCAGGGGAAATTGACAGCTCATGGTCAGCATTATTGTACAGTAAGAATGAGGGAGCCAGACAGGTGAAAAGCAGGTGATGTTAGGATACAGACATAGCATCAGAAATTAGTCAAAACTAACAAGTAGGAAAAAGAGGGGGAAATGAACAGAAACAAGAAAGAACAGCTCATAACAGGCAGAACAAAAAAGTGCTTCAGTACAGAGTGTAGCTGTGCAGCTCTGTGTTTCTGAAAGACACAGGAAAATCAGAACGACATCTTACATTGAAGCACAGATGCCTCAGTAACATCAGCAGTCATCTGAAGTAGGAAATGCTGATTACCTCTCCTAGACAGTTCAAAGAAGTGAAAACAAGCTAGCAAGCTAATATCTATTGATTTAAAACCAGATATACCCAGGATTTGCTTAGCCCAGCCAAAAACAAACAATAGGGAAAATATTCCCAATGGATCAGAATTCAAATAAAACTCAGGAAGACTTCCTTTAGTCTAATATTCAAACAAGGTGTTTTTTTTTTTTTTTCAAACTCCAGCTTAAAATCAAAAGAGGGAGAACATAAAAGCTTCAGTAGGGCAGAGGGCACTGGAGTGGGCAGCAGTCAGAGCAGAAAGTTTTCTGGGTCTGTCCTCCTCCCAAAAAACCCTCCCTGCTGCGTTCCCCTGTGGCATTCCTCATCGAGGCAGGCACCAAAATGCAAGCCCTGGGCCTGCTTAAAATACTCAAACAGAACAAAAAGAGACCCATCAGGACCCTAAGGGCTCACAGTTCACGTATTAAGAGAGGTATGTGATAATAATGCAATAGTCCAACAAGAAGCTGCCTAGTGACTTTTCTTCAGTTTTGATAGCTATCACACGAAGGCATGTGTTAGGGAAAGAACTGACACAATGAGGCAGTCCTGCAAATCTCTCCACAGTTTCTAAGCTGTGAGGAGAAACAAAGCATGAAGTGCTTGTTTGGAAAAAAAGGTAACAATTTATAAAGCCAAATGCATTCAAGATATAAACAGCTCTATGCCTACCAGGCCTGAATTGAAAGAAGAAAAAAAAAAAAAAAAAAAAAAAAAACCAAACAAAAAAACAAAGTAAAAGGCTAAAAATATTGGAAATATTTTGCAAGCTATGAGAAAAGTCAGTTGAAACATGCTTTGAACAGGTCTTTATCTATGCCTACAAAGATTTGCACAGGGCAAGAGGGCTAGGGTAATTTCAGAGCTCCTAGGCTGGAGTTGTAGACAAGGTAACCATAAATGATATGTCAAGGCAAACCTCAATGTAATGTCTGAATTTGCATCTGCAGACAACAGTACCTGTAAGTATAAAGAAATAATGGGATCAAAGATAAACTTGATATAATTTTGCACACAAAATCAGAAAACAAGTTCAGAGAAATCTCCATCTATATACTGATAGAGTGATTAGGGAGAGAGAAGAACAAGAGGAGATGAACATGGATTGCTGTACCATCAGATGCCAATTTCACAGTCAATGGGATGAAGGTTTCCTATTATCTGCTTCTATACTTCTGCACTATAGATGTGATTACAATGGATACCTTTATACTAGGTGCTAACCTAGTACAAGATATGTGTATATAAGTTGAAAGGCTAATGGTGAAAGCTTAAGCACCACGAAACCTGAGAGGAAGTATTGGCATGATCCCAAACAAAGCTGCCACTGTGCTGTTGGACTACATGGGCTCCTCTGGACTGAATTTTTCCAGAGATCCCCAGCAAGTTGCGTATCACAGGCAAGAACACAGGGATCATCCATTCTCAGAGAAAAAGGTTCTCGTTTTGAACTCAACACTATCACAAAATGGATGGCACATAAAAATACAAAAGAATGGAATTAAATGTTTATAAAAGCTATAAGCCTGACAGACAGCTCAATGTCCTACAACATATTTTATAAAAAAAAAAAAAAAACAAAAAAAAAAAACAAAAACACATCAGCAGGATAAAAAACAATTCCTGATGCTAATGATGTCAGAGAAGTATTGCTACCTGCTTCCTGAACAGAATTAAATATTACTCCTTCCTTCACAAGGCTTCTGAGACATAGGATCTGTCTGTGTAATTTTGTTAGTAGGGAACCATTGAGAGGACAGAATCAGGCCACCTTCTGGATACTCTATGCTGATGTCTTTACTTCTAGCTCTGTTAAAAGCCTTTTAGACTCTTTCAGCAAAAGAAAGGATCAAGGACCCAATCTATAAAAAAGGCCTTAGGTAGGAGACTCTGGATATCTGCAGACGGAAGCTACTGAAAGGTAAGAGAACATCAGGTAGAGCATTTCCATCAGTAGCCTTCATTTCCAGGGTGTAATCTGCTATCAGCAGGGATGCAAATCAAGTACCTAGTTATCAGAAAAAAAATCTCAGGCAAACATGTTTTCAAGGCTTTGCATGTATACATCTGAAAAACACTTTACCACTTAATTTAACACGTATCTCTAGTCAACATTTTCTGGTTTTAAACTGCATATGTAATTATAGGTCTTCTATAAACAGCTCAAATCAGATGGGCTGCCTTACAGACTTGAGAAAGCTCTTATCGACCAAATGCATCATCTGTCATGTCCTTTTCAATTGTCAAAAGCCATAGCGAAAATCTGAAAGGCTGTATCTATAGTGACCACAATTATTTTACTGTTTAAGAAACAGGACAGAAAACAGAACAGCACCTTAACTTTTTCTTTAGAAAAGGCATGGGTTCCCATGGTTCCTACTCTATTACAACATGGTCAATTAATTTCACCCATTATATTGACCCAAAACTTGGGGGATTTTTTTTTTTTGTTTTCCTATAATCCATGTATTAAGGAAAGGACACATGGGGAGCCAATCACAAAACAGTGTTCAACACTGTATAATGCAAGACAATGCACTTAAAGTTCTAGTAAAAGAGAAGAGATGTTGAGAAGATGTTATTAAAAAAAGAGATGGGAAAAAAAGAGCTTACCTTCTGCTCCTTTTCTTTGGCAGCACTGAGTTCAGAAAGGGAGAGCGATAGTTTTTCCTGCTGCTCAGCTAGGTACTTCTGATAAAGGCTCAAAAGTTCCTGGCATTCTCGGTACTGCTGCTGCAGAGGTAAGGCATCAGAAGTTAAGGGAAAATTACCCTTTAGCAAATATTTAGTCAAATATATACTAACTTACTCTGTGTAAATCTGATTTAGATCCATAACAGTTCAATTTAAAAACAGATACTATGTGTTTGAGTACTGCCTAATGATGATAAATCTGCCTAGAGATGAATGTTCAAGTACAACCTTCTTTTTACTCAGAGAATGGAAAAAGAATTGCACCGAATTCTGTTATTGGAAAAGGGACAGCAGCAGGAGGCAGGTGATGACATTGTTTCAGCTGGAACAATTACAACCCTCAGATTTGTATTCAGCAAAGCCAAACACTACCAATGTTTATTTATAAATAAATAAATAGCCAGCCAAGTAAGTAAATAGTCCATTTTTAAGCACAGACAGGGATTCACAAGCCCACATACCCAAATCCAATCTCTTTGCTTGAGCACCAATGGCTCCAAAACCCAGAGCCACAGATGCAGCGCTACAGGCCTTTTAGAGACCAGCAATGATTTTTGGACAGTAATCTGCAGAAGCAGCAACTGTGGTGTTTGCAAGGATATTAGCAAGCAACAGTGTCCTGCTTTGCTTGCAGCATTGAAATTCCAACAGGAGATAAATCTGCTCTTCACCTGTCATCGTGTAATTCCCTCCCTTTCTCATGTAGCATGGGAAACCATTTATGCTCCCCTCTCTCCCCCCTCACTTTTAATTATGCATGCAGATGGGATAAGGGCTCGCTGTCCAAAGAGATTACTCTGAATAAATACTTTAATAACAAGTCACCGCAATTAAGGTAGGGAACAAAAACTTCTTCAATCTATAATATGGTGTTGAGTTACAGATTTCCTTAACATTTTTATGATCTAATCATCGCTTCTGGGCAAATTCATGTTGCAATCATTTTTGCCAATCATGGCTGCATAAATAACTCGCTGCTTTGTTATTCCCTGCTATGACCCTGAGTTGTTTGGGTTTTTTGACTTCTTCTTGTTCTTTTGGAAGGGGTGGGGGGCCTTGCCAGGGGCTTTTGTTTTTCTTTCCTTTAAATAAAATGCCACACGTAGAATAAGCAAAACATTTTAGGAAGGAATGGGAGGTTATTAAACTCCAATGTTTAAATCAATCAGGAGAGATCCTAGAACACCTTTGCTCAGCACCTAGAAATACAGGAGTGTACAAACAATGGTCTAAACAAGCTAATTGCTTTCTAGAGCCAGCCTGCCTGAAGCCTAAGCTGTTTTACATTTCAGTTCATTTCGTCAGAGCTGAAGTGATTTGTGGTGGTCTCAGGAGTCTCTGCCAGCTATGATGTATATAAAAGGAATTTTTTATTCTGGTTGTAACCATAGGCAGTAATGTTTATAGTAGGTGAACATATTAGCCTGGACGCAGGGCATGAATTTTACTCTAGAAAAAGCCAGTTCATTTATACAGCCTAAGAGTTAAATGTTGGTATTTGAAGACAAATTATAGGGAAATTCATTTAAACCCATGTTATGTGGCAGAATATAAAAACAGACAGTCCTATCTTTATCAATTTTTTACAGCCCTCTTAATTCACTTTTCTTCCAGCAACCCCTTCCCCATAACACAGATTTTACCCTCTTCTCCCTGCAGCTAGGACGCTGCTGGCACAAGGAATGAGTACCCTAAATGTCCCTGGGGCACACGACTGATGGCCATGCACCTCCCCTCACTCTTGCCACAGTGTTAATGTCAATCCTGCTGGAAATCTAGGCAAGATTGTCCCCCACTCCCAAGTGTAGCACATACATGGTGCAAATGTACCATAAGAGATGCCCAAATTGTGTTTTACAGACTACAGAGCCCTTGCTGTGCACATGATGCTACCACCTCTTTCTTGCAGCTGCCAAATTTATTTGAAGTACAGATTAAAACATGACATGCAAATTTAACATTAGGAAAGCATGAAAGCAAATCCTGATTGTCCAAGGGTCAGTTACATGATTATGAGTGGGAAGGGCAATAGCTAATATGAGCTTGAATAGCAACAGAGATAACCCTGTAATTCTTGTAAGATTCAGTCAGCACTGTAACTGATAAAACTTTCTGTACTAGAAGATTAAAACCTTGTTCATTCACACAATCACTCTACATTAAGCAATGTATTGTTACAGCCACTATAGTCTAAGAGTCTAAAGCCTTGCCTTGCTTACTAAGTAAGTAAACATGAAGCTTCAAATAGGAGGAAAAAAAAAGTTCATTTGTTTAAGACATGAGCAGAATGGCTCTAAGTATGGTAATTCTCCATAATGTGCTGGTACATTTACTGGAGAATATATTCTTAAGGAAAAAAAGGCCTTAATATTAGATCTTACTCTTCAATTCTATTGAATTTCTGCTAAAAGCAGCAATATGATTTTTTTTTCCCCCTACAAATTAGTCAGGCAATACACAACACTGCCACAAAAATATTTAAGTTATTCACATAGAACAAGAGCACACATGTACCATGGCAAAACAGCCTTTAGACAGATACGTAGATAATAATAAATATTTTCATATTCTGCTTTAAAAAGAATGTTATCAGGATGAAAAAAAAACATAAGACAACAAGTCCTACAGATTTGCATTCCACAGAAAAAGTAATGCGCCTAAATGCTTACATCAGATATTTCTTCATGTGTTCCAGAGCACAAATACTGGATTTACAAGATGGTAGTTACCCGAGAGAAGTGGTACTTGGCATTTCGCTGAATGGTAGTTTTATGTCCAAGAAATATGCATTTGAATGTATCGAAGTAATACATTTTATGCACTTTGTTAGTAAAGTATTATGGTCACACAAGTTGGGGTGTGGGGAGGGAACAACGACGATGACAACAACAAAAAATCAGAAATGCAAAGGTTAAGATTTCAACAGAACAGCCACATTTACGTGTCATACTACAAGTACTATTTATTTTATAGAATAAATTAGATAATTTCATCACAACGTAAGACACAAAATTAAGAGAACATTCATAGCCCTTAAGAGATAATAACCTCTGTGGAGATAGAGTTGCCTTTGAGAAGAGGGACTGCTAGAATGCAGTTGTGGCAAGCTTACAGAGGCCAGGAACAGATTTCCCAGGAGAGGGACATTAGACAGGGAACTAAGAGTCTTTTCTTAGGAGTGAAGCTTCATGAGAAGGCACAGCCAACCTAATGCTCAGTTGCTGCCAAAGACACACTCCCACTCACCCCTCCAGTCTCACTCCCTCCATCTGCACCAGCTCTGCAGCTCTCCCAAACCTCTCAACTCACTCCAAGGGTCTGTCAAGCACAAGAGCTGGCACAAAGCGAGCAGAGGGAACAGGCAGCTGGGAGAGTGGGACACCTCTTCCAGCAGCAGCAACCCGGGAGGGTCCATCCACCTTGCAAAGTCTCAACCCTATTCTTTCTCCAGTTCCACCTTTAAGCTTCAGACTTTTAAATCTAAAGTGGTTTGGTTCAGAGCATTCAGCAATTTCCTAAAAAGCTTCTGAATCCTACACATCAGCCTCCACGTCCTTCTGTAAGCAATGTTCATGCTACAGCAGTTCAAACACCCATTGGTCTCTTCATCTAGAATCAAGATTTTCAAATTCAGCCAACACCAGGCTACTCCACACGGCCTGTTTGTTGAAGTTCTGCCTTTCTTAAATCACTTCTTGTAAGAGGAAAAAAAGAAGAAATAAGGTAGAGGACCTTCTCTTTAGAAAGAAGGTGTTTTTTTGGCCTGTATCATTCAAGAAGAATGTTTAGTTTTACTACACATTATTTTAAAGAAAAAAAAAAAAAATTAAAGCAGCCTCCAATCCTGGGAATGTGGGGCTGGAAAAAAGTTTTCTAGAAACTATTAGCAGGGGAAGAGAACACTATTAACGAACTATTTTTTGGCAATCAACATAATAACAAAGGCCCTCCTGTATTTTCAGCATGTTTGTGAGAACTCCTCACCTAGTGATTCCTTCCTCAATGGCTTGTCACAAGTATTTCTGGGGCAGGCATAAGCTCTAGTGTTCCTTTTTTACATATGGAGAAACAGTGGCACAGTAAGTCTTCAGGCATGCCTGTGTACACAGGTGCAGCCCAGCAGTTCCATACTCCACAAGCCAGAGCCAGGACAATTCTTGCAGCTGTAGGATAACTTAGCACAGATCAGTCACAGCACTAAGACTCCAGATTCATCTTGCACCTAATTAGCTTAGAGTGCAAGTTTACCCATATTCACCCATGCAGACAAGCCCTAACAGATTTCCCAAGCACCAGACAAGATGCTCAGGGATGACTGATTCCTATAGTCCCTGACTGTGTCTCTGACTTGGACTGTCCTTTCATTCAAGGCTGCATACTCTGATCCATGTCCAGAAGAGAACACAAGAGCTAAATCTCCATCTTCAGCAACAAGATGCTTCAATCCTATCAGCCCCTATATCCAACAGAAGATTCTCTAGAGACTCAGAGCTATTACAGAGATATGCAAAGATGAATAAAGCAATCAAAGGACGGAAAAAGTCAAACAGGCACAAATTACATTTAAATTTAAGTAAGATAGCAATAATTTATACTTTATGGTAGAGACAGAAGAAACTTTCAGGGATATGATTTCAGCACATGATGAAGAAAGCTTTTTGACATCTGCAATTGCCATCTAGTCACCACAAAACACCTTTTCTTAATGCCTGCTTAAGGACATGCATCTAAAAAGCCAACTAGTCATCATCAGATTGGCAGTTTCAGCAAAGACTGAACTATCTTCACTGCCTCAGGTAGTCCTTTGAAGGCAAAGGCTGTGTAAACAAAAAAAAAAAAAAAAAAAAGAGAAGGAGACACTGAGGAAGTACCACTGACACTAGCTTGACGAAGCTAGGCTGAGCACTGAGAGAGCAGTCTTTGGTCTCCAAAGAAAAATCTACTCAGATAAGTTGCAGGTAGACCTGAGCTTGTCTGTCTACTCTCCAACCACGTATGTATAAGCCAGATCTATTCAAGGAGCCATGCACAGCCACAGTACCACAGC